ATCATAATGTCATAGAAATTTATTGTGAATTCTTGACATATTGTTTGGTGGACTATGTATGACCCACTTCCGCTTATTGCATGTAAAGGCGTAATTGGAAATGACTCTCTACTCTGTCTTGTTCACTACAAAATATTTTTTTTTATATAGATATATGATTGTACAATCAAAATAATTGTTTTCACAGAAAACAAAATCATTTTCTTTTCGTTGTTTTTTCGTCTTGAATTAGTTATTGATATTTAATAGAGATAAAGATGACTAGTAATAACTATTACTACACGACAATTTTATTTTTTTTATTTTCTACGATAAACTAAAGAAAATAAAATGGAAGATTTTATAATTTTTTTCCGATAAAAAGTCACGAGGAGAAAAAACAAAGTTGAAGATGAAGATGTATCCGACTATAGATAGAAATCATAATTGAATTGTTACCGCGCTTTTGTCAAACTTTATTTATTTTTTTTTTTATTTTTTTTTTGTAGTAATGACAACTTCGGTCGTGTCGTCTGCAGTTGAAAAAAAAAAGAGAAAGAATAATCTATCGTTTGTGATAATTTTTAACTGATTGAATATGCATCAATAAAATATTTTCAAAGATAATTTTTTTTTTTTTTTTATCGAAATCACTAATTGCTTTAAAAGGCTTATCTATATTCTTGAAATCTATCTATATATTCCCATATCATTCTTCCTTTATACTCAATCTAAGAGTTCTACTAGATTTGCTTAATTTCTTATGGTATGATTATATATATATATATATTTTTTTTTTTTTTATTATAAAAGTCGATAATAAAAAAAAAAAGAGAAAAGAAGAATTTATTTTAATCTTAATGTTTCTTATTGTAGGATATAGGGCGTTTTTTTAAGTGTTCTAAATGTAGAAGAAATAATAAGGAAAACTTAATGAATAACTATGTCGATATTTTGACGAACAAAAAAAAAATTATCTTCAATTACATTGTCTGTGTTTTGTTAGAAGAGAGAGAAGAAAAAAAATGGAAAAAAGAAGAGCGCAAATAAAATTCTGTTATTTCAAAGATAAAATTGTTACTTTTCCTTGGAGAAGAGGTTGATTTTTTTTGTTTTTGTTTTTTTGTTTTTTTCTTTTGTAAAAATCTTGCAAATATGTAATTGTGTACTTGTGTTTTTGTTTGCATAATAAAACATATTTATATTATTGAACATATTGAATGTATCAAAGAGAGAAGATCAGTTAGTTATTTAGCGCTATCGATAGAAAAAAAAAAATCAAAAAGAAAAAATCTCCATATGAGAAGGTATTATACATGTTTTTTTTTTGTTTTTGTTAGCAGGAAGACAAAGAGAGAAAAAACAAAACAAAACCATCAAAATATAAAACAAAGATAATAACATACACAATAGAATATATCCGGATTTCGATTTAAACGATAGTATAGAGAGTAACAGAGAAAGAGAGAGAGAGAGAGAGTCATTTCCAATTACGCCTTTACATGCAATAAGCGGAAGTGGGTCATACATAGTCCACCAAACAATATGTCAAGAATTCACAATAAATTTCTATGACATTATGATTATCAAACAGAAGAATCATTTTTCAATTGTTATACATATTCATATTTATCGAGGCATAGATGCAAGTAAAAATTTCATAAGTGAATTAACTGTCATTACCGCAGGGTCTATTTTTATTTTTATTTTTATTTTTTGTTTGAATTTGACTTTCTTATATTATACTAACGTCGATATATTTTAAGGTTAGAATTCAACTCTGATATGTAATTTAATCAATCTAGAAGACAACCTACATGATTGTCATACAATCTTCGAATGTATTTCTGTTTCAAAATTTAATTTACTTAAAAAAATTATTTCATATTTAGCCTTTGGCAATAGGTTTTTTTTTTTCTTTTTTATTTGCAAATAACAAATTTATCTTATATAAAGATTAAAAAATTTAGTGAAGCTAAAAATGATGACTAGTTGTAAAAAAAAAATAAAATCTAGAATTACACAGATAATTTATAAAATATTCTTTTTTTTTTTTAGCATCTTTAACATGTTTAAAATATTGGAGCGTTAAATACTCATAAGTGTATAACATGTTCGTTGTTCTATATGTGAGAATAGAATTTGTCACCTCAATTGTATTCATATTATTTTTAGTATAATCTATTGAAATTGTATTTTTTTTACAAATATCGTAAAGAATATGACAACCTTGAAAAAGGAAAAAAAAAAGAAAAAAAAAGGTAGAAGCTTATTTGTTTTATCTTGTTGGACAAATATTGTACACGTTTCTGTCGTTTAGTTTTCGTGTTAGATAAAACGTTTTGAGATGTTGTTAGTAAATAGTTTAAATGGTCCAATTAGTTGTCAATGAAAGTCTATAGTATTAGTTGAAAAACGATCAAGGAAATTCGACTGTCGAGTAGATATCCTTCTCATTTCTCGATTACGAGCACATTGAGAATACAACAATCATCATTAAGTAAAGAGAGATAGAAAGAGAGAGAGGGAGAGAGAGAGAGGGAGGGAGAGAGAGGGAGAGAAAGAGAGAGAGAGAAAGAAAGAAAGAGATAAGAGGATTATTGTTACGTGCTAAGAATAAATAGTCAACACATCCGCATAGATAAAATTCTATTTCCTGTGGGAAATAAAGAAAACAATAAGTAAAAATGTCTCCACTTTTGCAACATCGATTTTCTTCTTTTTTTTTTGTTAAACAAAAAACATTCATAATCAAATATGTTTAATAACAATAAAACGTAACAAAACTTAAACGATGTGGGAAAATAGTTTAATTTAATTAGAAAGAACTTTTTATTATCTAAAATAAATATATACTCTTAAGATTTTTAGTTAAAATCACAAGAGAAAAACGATATACAATTTATAAAACTTGAATGATAAAAAGAAGGTATAAGAGTCTTTTATAGAGTCTTTTATAGATAAATAAACACTGATTTTTATTTTCAAAAAGAAAAAAATTTTTTTCTCGTTCAAACATGATTTGATTCTTTGTTCTATTATTATTATTACATTATCTCGTTTATTATTATTATTATTATTATTATTATTATTTTCTAAAAGATTTTTTTAATGAGTTATGAAACTTATACACGTTACAGTACAATTGATTATAGTAAAACATTAACGATATATGATATGAATAGAACTTTCGTGATTCTGGGAAATAATTCAATCGATGAAAAATTAACACCAACGCGTGAAGCAACATTTATTGCTGCTATGTTTGCATTTGTATTTATATTTATTGGACTTGTGGGCAATATTATTTTGTTAGCCACTATACTATCTGTTAAAAAATTACGATCAAATATTATAAATATATTTATTGTTTCGGTAAGTTTTAATAAATAAGAATAAATAGAATTAGACATGCAACGATAATCGGTAAATTTACCGTTACCGTTTCGTGCTTAGTAGAGTGTTACAAGAGTAAAAAATTCAGTAATCTTTTCTAATAAAAACAGAATATTTTCTTAATCTAATTTTATATCAAATTGAATTAGAAGGCGTTTACCTTAGAACAAAAAATATTTAGTTGAAAAATCATCCTAGATGAAAGAATATGAAAGTCAGTTGAAGTTGTTTATTATATATTTCTTATTTTTTAGCTACAAGTTAATGATCTAATGAATATTGGCTTTAATCAGTTTTTTGTTGGTCTATCGTATGCGAATCGTGGCTGGTTAGGTGGAAGAATACTATGTGATCTTGTTGTTTATTTTTCTGGTGTTTGTATGGGATGTCTTCTTTGGCATCATTGTCTAATAGCTATTCATCGTTATATAGCTGTTGTTTATCATAATCTACTGCGTAAAATATCTTTGAAAACTTATGCTACTGTATCGTTAATAATAACACGATTAATTCCCATTGCTGCTTGTATTCCATCATTTCGTCGCTATACAATATCTTACTCACCACAAATTTTAAGATGTCAATTTATCGGTCGATTACAAATAATAATAAATGTATTTATTCTGATACTATTACCAGCAAGCATAATTATTTTTTGTTTTTTGGGTATTTTTATTTATGTCGCTCGTGCTACACATATTTCACGAATGAAACAAGTACGTTCAATGCAAACGTCCAATACACAATCGTTAAGACGAGAAATTCGAATAACAAAGATGTTTGGAAGGTAGATCATTATAATCGTAGTGAACATGCAACAGTTACAGTTTACTCTAAAATTGTAATTGCATAATTGTAACTGAATAGCTATCACAACTGGATTGATCTAAGTATATTATAAACCGACGACGAAACCACTCTAACTGTCCGATCGCTTTTTTCAAGAAACCTAGTGGACAATAGGTAATCGAGTGTGCTAAATCCGAATATCATAGTGGTTGGGGTTTCTAGGCCTCCAGAGACCGTTTTTCTGGAAAACCAGTTTTTTAGAAACTCTAAAAAATAACCCAAACCATTCCTAATGAAGCATAATTGTAGCCCGCAAATTTCTGATTAAAATGAGACATCTCCCAGCTCCACACGACCTTTCTTTGCAAAGTTATAAAATTTACAAGAAAAGCCCTGAATTAATTTCTTCTTATTTCTGTAGCTTTGAGCTGACAGTAAACATTTAGGGCTTTTGTTGTAAATTCTCTAACTTTGCAAAGAAAGGTCTTGTAGAGCTGGGAGACGTCTCATTTTAATCAGAAATATGCGGGCTACAATTATGCTTCATTAAGAACGGTTTGGGTTATTTTTTAGAGGTTCTAAAAAAATGGTTTTCTAGAAAAATGGTCTCTGGAGGCCTAGAAACCCCAACCACTATGATATTCGGATTCAGCACACTCGATTACCTATTGTCCACTAGGTTTCTTGAAAAAAGCGATCGGACAGTTGGAGTGGTTTCCTTCTGAGACAAAAAAGCTAAAACAATTTTTTTATGTCAGTTTTATACTTCTTCAGTTATGCAGTTACAGTTACCACAATAGTTTTTACAGTTTTATAACTACAGTTAACTGACAAATAACTGTTACTGATGCATAACCTCAATCGTAGTATGAACAAATTATGCATTTCTTTTTCTTTCCTTTCTTTTAGTCTATTTTCCATATTTCTATTTGGTTATCTTCCATACGGTCTTGTTAGAGCGTATGATAAACGTGGTCATCTTCATCCGGATATATACGTCCTACTAACTGTTATTTATTGTATATCGATTTGTACTAGTCCGTTTGTTTATGGTATTATGAATAATCAACTACGTTATGAGTGTAAACAACTCATATTGTGCTGTTTATATTGCAAAAAAATGACTCAATATAAAAAATATTCACTAACACGATTGACAGCTATAAAAAATAACAGCAACAGTCCCTCCATAACCTCCATGAGAGATATCAAAGTCAAATTGAAACGAAATAATACATCAGTTTGATTTTTCTTCATTTTTTTTGCTACTTTTTCTATGCTTTTACACTAATAATTTTTGCTTCTAAAATAATAGAAATATAAATTATCCGTTCATTACGTTGCTGCATAATAAATATATAAAATTGATGTTCTTAGTAAAAAATTTTCTGAAGATAAGTGTAATTTTTTATAAAATATCATTTTAAAACTATATCGTTTCTTCATTGTCAAACAAATTGTAAAAATTGTTTTAAAATTACAAAACGTTGTTTGATTATTTTCGTTCAACAAACTAATAGATACCAAGAAGAAGTATGTTCAATGAGTCTTCAACTAATTTATCAATGATCAAATGTTTGGAACAAAATGGCGCACAAAAAATGTCTTGTTTTATTTTCAGTTATTAATCGTATAGATTATTCATTTTTCTAATTTACTAATAAATATTTCATTATATTCTTTTGATGAAAAATATTATTTTTTAAAGTCTTGTATTCTTATACGATGAGTATGAATGCATTGGATGATCTACCACTTAGTACAGTTCAAACATCAGTTGACTCATTGAAAAGAGAAAAAATGGCTACCGTCTTGCCATCGAAAGTCTATGATTCTCTTAATAGTTATAAAAAAAAAAATTTAGCAATATCTCAACAATGGAAAAATCGTGACTTAAAAGAAAAGACAATTTATGTAGCAAAAAGTGTTCAATTACAATTAGCTCAATTAGTGAATAGTTTAATTGAATTTACAAGTGAATTGGCCTATTTTGCTATAAATGCATTTCAGACAACTTCATTACGTCGTATACAAGTAAATACATTATCACGTTTTTCAAATTTTTGTGTATCTCATACATGTGCATTCTACTATAATTTGGATACTGAATTTGATACATTTGTGAAAAAAATGAAAGATCTTTGTAAACGTGTAAAATATACTTTTCTTGATATTCGAATAACACGTCACCATTTTCCATTGGCATCAATGCTTAATCTATCAGAAACATATCGATCATTGGATACATTAAAATGTAATATCGATCGATTAAGAGGTACTTTGTACAAATACTAGAGTAAATAAACTTTAAAGAAGAAGACTATTATTTAACTTTAGATTTAAAAGATATACATAAAGAAATTGGTCATGATTTACTATTGCCAAATGATCAATTATTTTTATCGTTCGATTTATTAGTATTAAATTATCAACTGATTTTGTGCGAGTTAGACAATAAGGTAGATATCTATACAGATATATATTTTTGAAATTCAATTTTTTTTGTTTTTGTTTTTGTCTCTTCAAGGTCAAATTTAAAGATTCATTAATAATGCAAACATTTGTAAAAGTAAGATAAGTAAAAAAAACGATTGATGATCAACATAAAACGATGTTTTTTTAGGATATTTTTCTACAATTTCGTATCTCTCTTACATGGATCTATCCAGCCGTTAAATTTGCAGCTTATCGATTTGGTGATCCATCGTTAGCACTCGCCATAAAAAAGTGTAATGTAAAAAAACAAAAAATTGATTATTGTAGTACAGTAAGAAAAAAAGAAAAGCCAAAAGTATCAGTGATCAAAAATCCACATCAAATCATTAAAGATTCATCGATTTTAATAACTCAATCACCAAACAATATTCTAAAAACAACAACAGCAAATGCTCTAGTAATTGAACGATCAGAATCCGACAAGTGGATAAATGTTGATGCTCAAAATCAAAATTTTATGAATAGTGATTCACTAAGTGAATATTCAAGATCAACAATGGTCGATGCGAAAGAAAAGTCAGTGATCATGAATAAAAATAATTCATTATTATTAAATACAATGTCGTCCAATTCAAACATATTCAATTTCGGTACATATTTGAATGAATTAACGCCAAGTAATATTTCCAAGTTAGACCAGACGTTATCTAGTTTTGATTCGCCTCAAAATGATCAGCATGTAAATAATCTACTAAATGTTATCTCCAAAGTTGTTCTTGTAAATAGTACTCGATTCCATTTATTTATCTATTACAGATGAAACGATGCTTGCGCTTTGATATAAATGCCAATTATTCAAAAGATAATAGAAAAACGTCGAATGTTGATGATGAATACAACAATATTCCGCTAGTATCACCAACAACAGTAACGGACATTTATAAAGAAAATATTCAAAGTAACTCATATCAGTTTTTTTCTTATTGAAATTTGTCATTTTTTTTTAAATCACACTCACAGCATCTTACCGAATGGTTGTAACAGACAAGTTTTCATCACATTATGAATGATGGATGAACTTTTCTCTTGCATACTTTTAACAAATGAATGTATATTAACGTGGAGAAAGACTCTGATAGACAAACACGAAAAACAAAGCATATGTTTCGAATGGAGCTCGAACTTGAGCGAGAATAAATGAAAGAAAATGTTATGCTTTTTGACATATATTTTCTTTTCTTCTATGTTGTTGTCTATTAAATTTTTTCTCTGCCACAAAATTATGTATATTAATACAATTAATAATACAAGTCCGATTTTACTTTCAACTTTTGTCAAATTATTTTGTTAGCTAAACTAAAAAATGCCGTTGTTCAGAATACTAAAGAAACTGTCTTATAACAGATGAATTATTTTATAGGGATTATATTTCCATCAGTCAATGATAAACAACTTATCAACAGTAGTCAATCATCGCATGATATTTATTCACATTGTATTGAAAAGGATATCGTTTGTTTATCAACAAAACTACTTAATACTAATAATATTATTACAAAAACTCTTGATCGTCCAATAGAGCAAAACAAGAAAGATGATGACAAATGTTTTCAATCAAAACTGGAATATATGAAAGACATTCATGCAACTCTATCGTTCAAAAATGAATTATTATCATCAACAATATCCTATCTACGAGAAACCAAAAATAATAAATGCGAAAAAGTGTCTACATCGGTAGAGGTTCGTCAATCAACATTTTTCTTCTTACTAGTCAACTTAATATCAAATATTGAAACTTTCTTTCAATCTCAATATCTCTTTGATATTTTTTTGTTTTGTTATACTATTTACCCACACTGCCTATTTTCATCGAAAATTGTTGGCGTTAATTTAGGCCACTGACTAAATTCAAATCGTATATCGCCATGCTTTCATATTTTTTATCGGCAAACTGTAAAAAATAAAATGTGCGGCGCGCACACTTAAACAATAGGCACACTTAAGAAAATACACACTGTTTTGGTAACAAGTGACCATATTTTGAGATATGCATCCACCGGTACACTTTATTTTTTACACCAACATTAAGGGTCCAACCCTCTTTTTTGAAAAAATTTCTGATTTTGAGCTGAGCATAACCTAATGTAGAGGAAAATGTGGGCTACAAAATGAGATCATTCCCAGCATTTTCTGATGAGTTTTTGTGGGGATATAAACATCTCGGCAAATGCGTTGAAAAAAGTGACGTGTGTACAAAATGCAAGGGGGTAAAAGCACCACTTCACCACTTCATTTCACTTCACTTCATCTAGGTAAAACGCTGCTGAAACGGTCGAAACAATAAAAAATCACTTCAAGTTCACTTCAAGTTAAGCGGAAGTGGTGAAATGGTACTTTCCCTCCCTTGCTTCCCTCCCCCATCAGGGGCGCCGTTTCAGCAGTGAAGTGAAATGAAGTGGTGAAGTGGTGCTTTTACCCCCTTGACAAAATGTGTTTTTTCTCGAAAGCTATTTTCTTGCTACCGGGTTTCATTGAACCACATTCCAAAAATTATACCTCTGCGCTATGATCTTGAGTACCTCTGGTAAAATTTTAAACTCGATCGGATGAGATTCAAAGGGGGTCGTAATGTGATCCAATGAAAAATCGAGTTTTCTGGAGAACTGTGGACGGCAATAGTTAAAAACTTGAAACAAAAACTCAAAGGCTCTATTGAGTTTCCAATCAGTTCTGAAAATATGAAGCCTTACTGAGTTTTAGGTTTTAGTTCACAGCATTTCTATGAAAAGCCCAAAATGAGGAGAAGGGTACCCTTAAGCGCAGTGGTGGATCTATACAATTTTTCACAGAGCACTTCTTCCAGCAGCGTTGTTCGTATCGCAAAAATCCTTGGAAAATTTTGAAAGTAGTCTTATTGTGAAGAGGACACTTCGCTCTATTAATAAGACTGTATTAATAGGTCGAAATATTGAATTGTAATTTTAACTCTTAGTTTTAATCCTTTTAATTTTTATTATTTTTATTAAAACTTTTATTAAAATTCTTAACATGATAGCTGCAATGGTTCTTAAAATTTTATTTTTAATGTTGCCATAAACTCAAAAAACGTTATTAAAAAACTTGAGTTTTTTCAGCCTCGTTAGCAAAAACTTAAAAAAATCATAACTTTTGCAAAGAGGTCGTGAGACGATGGAAATAGTTTTCTTGTATAGCTCATTCTTTCTTCTACATTAGGATATGTTCAGCTCAGAATAACAAAAAAAAGAGAATACCCTTTAAGTCCAAAATTGCTACGCAGAACAGAAAAAGTGGAAGAAATACACAATTGCAGTAGATGTTTGTTGTTAGAAGCGTCACTAAAGTCTTCATAACTGATGTTACATATCGTAGAAGGAATTTCTAGGAAAACAAATAAATCCTACTACTTAAAATCTAATAAGATCCATCAATTTTTTTGGATTTAGAATAACGGACTCTGGTTGTTTGTCCGAGAGTTCCCTAAAAATGAGAAACCACCTTCATTTCTATCATTGCTGACATAATTCAAAACGGCGAAGCAAAATATGCAAAAATATATTGTATTCAAGTTTTCATTTATGGCGTAATAAATCCTAATGTTTCAGTGATTAATTCAAGCTAATCCTACTACTATTGCAATTGCTATGGTAATAAAGTATATCATATAATTCTACAATGAACCAATAGCGCTCTATTTATCCAAAAATTTATATTTTTAGTTGAGAGAAACGCATTTGACCTTTAATTTAAACGCTATTTTCTTTTCCTCCATGTTGCGTTATTGAATTTTGATGATGGAGTGTCGATTACAAGATCAAGGTAAAAGTCTTATATAGTACTAACTGAAAAATCGAACATATACACGTATACATGGTTTTGTGTTGCAGATAGTGGTGATAATAATAGTTGGATACAAAGAGCATCACATTTTGTTCAAGATAATATACTGCGATGCAACAGAAAAAGTAAATTATTTGATATAATGTACAAGTCCTCTTACTTGATAGAAAAAAGAAAAATTATCGAAGTTCAAGATTATTCAACAGTAGAAAAGGCGAACAATCAAGGAGATAACATGAGTGATTTGTATCTATGTATGTGGGTAATAAAAACAACTGTTTTCATATAGTTTGTCGAGCAAATGTCTTATTCAGATTGTGAACAATGCGAAAAGTTTTATGATAATTTATGTCCAATTCATTTACCTCTTTACATACGAGATAGACCTGTAAGCATTTAAAAAACATGTGTTGTTTTATTTACTTCTACCATAAACCATTGAATAAGATAGGTCAAGTATGAAGAACTCAAAAGCCCGAATGATTATGCGATATCAACAGTGCCCAACAGCATTACAGTGAATAAAAGTTCACTGTTAAATGCTGGCATTGGAACATTTGCTGCTATTGACATTGAAAAAGGAACGTATTTTGGGCCTTATACTGGTTACAAACATTGTGATATGAGCACGGCTGAGCGGAGCGGTTTTTCATGGATGGTATGTCTTTTGGTTTCTCCTGTATAGTTTGTTTTTCTTTTTCTATAAATAACTATAACACTAAAATTATGATTTTGTTGATACTTCTTTCAAGAAGAAAGCTTTGCTAAATTAAAATCATACTGTACTCAAAAACTTGTCATTGTCGTACAAACACCTTCCATATGTTCCTTTCATACATTATGACTGTTAGGACATTTCTTTGCAGGTAACAGCTGATAATGGACAAATGTGTTATTTCATAGGTATTACTAACTTCGTCTGAGAACATATTGTTGATTATGAATTAAACTTTTTTATTTTCTAGATGCATTTGATCCAAAATGCAGTAATTGGTTACGATGGACAAATTGTCCAAATTATATTTGGCAACAAAACCTTATTGCTGTTCAGTGTAAACATATACTTTCAATTATATGCTTTTATATTTGCTATTCACAATGACTTCCTTTTTTATAGATCGAGGAAATATCTTTTATAAAGCCGTTCGTCAAATATCAGCTAATGAAGAATTGTTAGTGTACTATGGTGACGAGTATGCTCTGAATCTCGGAATAAAACAAGAACAGTTCTCAAAGTCACCATTTTTACCTATCCTGTCAGAATCAGAGAAAAATTGTGAGAAAAATTGCAGAGACAACCAATCGAATAAATAAACGATGTAACATTTCATATAAGGACATCGAATTGTTTCTTTGTAAGAATCTCCCATTCTGTTCCAGTCTTTTCTTTCTTGTTCTACTGTTTAAAAGCGGTTTATCACAGTGAATGAAGCGTTTGCTGCAGTATTTTCGAAAAAAACGTGCTCCTGAGCGTTTTGTTCTTCAGGCTACGTCCGAGATGAACTAATTATTCTGAGAAAACATGTTCGGACGATAATTATCTCCATGTCGTTTCATACGAACGCGACAAAACATTTTTAACAACAGGTATTGTGCCAGTATTTTTTAAAAGAACTGAGAATTGATAAGATAGTAACAAGAGCTGTTTTTAGATTCATCTTTATTTATTTGATAAAAATTTTTATTAAATAAAGAGGAATCTAAAAACAGCTGCTATTACTATCTTATCAATTCTTAAACTTCTACCCCTGAACAGATATAATGTTTCAAAAAAGCTAAGCTTCTTGCTTCAGATTTCATCAGAAAAAACTGCAAAACCCTGATTTTTCATCAAAATAGAATATTGCAACTGCGTGCGTTTTCAGATATTTTTCTGTAACAGTCTCTACTTTACTCGTGTGTCTAGAACTTAGATTTCTAGAAATTAGAGTTTCTGATTTTCCATCTGTTCCAGTTTCCAAGAATACTTGAAATCTAATTTTTAACTCTTACTTTTGAAAAAAAAACTTCAACTTTTAAACACACAAAAAGTGAAATATCGATCTTATGTAGTCAAAATCATGTCTGCTAGATATTGGGTTGCACGAGACGACCCAATTGGAGGACTAATAACAGCAAATCTCCCCATTCATCAACTTGTAATTATTTACAAATTTAGTCTAATCCTTAACATGTTACTCAGAGCATTTAGAAAAATTATTCAAAAAGAATGAATTAAGCTTTTCTGATAAGACGCAGAAATGTTTTGTTAAATCATGCAAAAAAATATTTAAAAATATCTTAGAAATTTTCAAAAAGTATTGGTATTTTACTAATTTGGAAAAAAACTTCTGTTAGAAAAAATTACAAACCGACCGGATCACCTAGGAAAAGTCTTACCAGTTTTAACTTTGAATTTAAACTGCTCAGCTCTGTTTTTTTTCATTTTCTACCTCGTACGAAGCCATAAGATTACACATGAACACGGTTACTCTCAAAAAGGAGGTTGTTGTATGGTGTCTCCCACAAATTCTACTTTTAGCAATTTTTATCCCTTTTCGCGATTTTTGAGCTAATTATTTTTTTATATATTAGCCTATTCCACTCTGGGAACCAAGACAGAGCAACTCAAGCACTACAAGAATAAACTGCTAGTTGGTTTCTGTATGATTAGTGACTAGATCCACTATCATGTCAATAATCATGAAGGATGAAATGTCTATTTTACAATACCGCCGGCGCTTATACTTTGTCTTTTGCCTAAAAAGAAAAACACACACGTAGGTAGCAAGGATATTTCTCAATAAATTCTAAAAATTTCCATCGTGATTGCCACTTCCACAAACAGTACTTTTACTGAACGGAAACTAAAACAAGTTGACAATATTTCACGGACGAAGATTTTTTTAGGCACGGATAAAGATCGTTCTGGGCACGGTTCGTCCTTCGTTTATTCAAGATGGCTCATCATTGTTCTTCGGTTATCTGTACAGTCTCTCTGCGTTTTCTCTTCCCGCTACGTGCCTTGATAGCTACATTAATATAGTAAAAAGGCTGTTGTTGATAACATTACTGGTGGAGCGTCCGTCAACGTTTAGGTAAAATCAGTCTAACGCGGCTTTCGACTCTTTCCAACTGTCAGCCTATCTCATGAAAAATATGCCTACAAATGGATCAAAAATTTAGACAAAAATCAGTTGCTGTACTATCATGGGCATACACATATAGTTCTCTCCTCATGCTCGGCGCAGATTCCTCCTCATCTGTGGCTACTGAAAACTTTATCATAGCAAACATTCGATGCCTTTTTCACTTGACTGTATGCTTCGAGACTCGTCTCAATGCCAATGATGTGCTCGTTCAGTAGAAATTTGAAAGAATACGTCTGAAACCATGCATTGAGGCTCACGATGCATTTTGGCTGTTACACAGTGTCAGATCCTTCACGGTTACAAGACTTAGAAAAAACGACAACGAGGACGCCCAAAACAGCTCTCAAAACGCCCAAACAGCGTCAACTAATTTCCTTGCCCAAAAGACATTTTCATATTTCACCCATTTCTTCGTAGAACAACTGTCTTTTCAGTTTCGATAGTCCGATATCTTTCCTGCAGTTTACAACCTTCTGACATGGTCACCCATCTTGTCATGAATCATCATCTACAGCTTTGGACACAAGACTGGTCTGACGCCGAGTTCTTTTGCTCAATTACTTCAGCTTTCTATAGACACTCACTAACCACATACTAGCTTTTTGGAAAGCTACGCGAACCAGCCCGAAGAGCTGTATTGTACACCTCAATGCAATAGATATGCTATCGCGCGGGTGTTCCAAGACAATAGGTCATAAGTAACTTGACCAAGGTTATTATATAACCTACCAGCGTTGAGATTCGAACACAATACGTTTGAAGTATGTGAATAGCCACTAAGCCATGCTGTCTCACCTTAAATAGAAGGAAGCTGTGGTCACGTTTTGATGCAACAATAAAGGGTACATCCTCATGGAATCACAAACGATTCACATTTGAATAAAATCCTCATGACCAGTCAAAGAGGCTTAAACTTATTGAATAATCAGCATTTAATGAGCCACTAGTTGAAATCTAAAGTAATCGTGTATGATTCTTTAGATCGATAGACAAGAATACGTTTTCTGAAGTACTGCAGATTTTATTTTGTTCAACTCCTTTTTTGTTGATTCCTCATTATAGTATTTTCAATATTTAACTTTTAATGACGTTTATGTATACATAAACGTGTGCAGGTATACCTGCACACAAAACATATATTACATCATATTCATTATTATAATCATGAACTCGTCAAGCAAAAAAAAGTCAGATGCTGGTCGCTATCAGTATACTTGTCTTTTGTTATAATTTCTACTTTTGAGTGTAGAGAAAAGTATGCCTGGGATGCCTTATAGAAGAACAGTAATAATAAACGCAGCACTTCGTTGTTTTCCCATTCATTATACTATATTATAGAAGAAAGCATATATCTTTATCAAATATTACACAGAGAATAGATAACTAACTGATCTTGTTAGCAACTATGTTTATATGTGAATCGAACATCTTGTTCATGTTTTATTTATCAGTATATGGCTGAACCTGTATTGAACAATAAAGAATCATAAATGCCACTGACTTTTATTCTCAGAAACAAAATATTAGATGAATATCGTCTTTGTTTTCATCGATAATTAGAGGTCAGAAATAAAACCGTTTTTTACGACATGAAATAGAGAAAAATATAGCAACAAGTTTTTCTTTCTCCGATAGAACTTGATTAGAATGTCTTAGTTTTTAAGATCTAGTAATTCTGCAACTATTGACAAAATATACACTTTGTCTCAAATAATAATATTGAATAAATAAAACTTTTTGTTTGTAATTGATAAAATTTTCATTAAAAATAGTATAACTAAAACAGCGATTTTAATCATTTTAAATTTCCAACGTTTCGATTTATTAAAAAATCATTTGTCAAGGATATATACAGAAAACAGAAGATTTTCTTTTAAACTGAACGGTATAATTTATATTTCTATACTGTACGATTTTCTCTCTTCAAGTATTTTTTCTTTTCTAGGCCACAAAATAGAAAGAAAAGGATTTTGTTATACAATTGTGTTCGTCTGTGTGTATTTCAAGTCTTTGACTTTTCTGTATATATCCTTGACAATGATTTTTTAATAAATCAAAATGTTGGAAATTTAAAATGATTAAAACCGTTGCTTTAGTTATATTTTTCTTAATAAATAAAATTGTTTAGATTTTATGTTTTATATTATAATAGATAATTTATATCAAATTGAAAAATAAGATTATGTACAAAATATACCAATGAAACAGAAAACAAAAGTTTCTTTTCGCTCTTTAATGTACAATAAAAATTATACTAGTATATGTATGAGATATATTCAATATGTTCATGCTTTCTCCTCCTTTCTCTCATTTAATATACTGGAATAAAACTAATGATCGTATTCTCATCTCATATATTAACTATTATATGTATACTATCTTATATGAATATATATAACAATAAAATATATAATCTTTTTTTCTCTTGTTCCAATAATTTTTTATCCTAGAACACACAGTTTTTTTACTTTCAAAAAGGTTACTTCATCACAGATATATGATTGATTGTGTATATATTAATAAAATAAATAACATTTAACACAATTTATTACGTTATTTTTTAGGAATATGTTTTGTTTGCCTTTTTTATTTCTTAAATAGAGAAAGAAAGAGAGAGAATTAGAACTGCTATCACATCAAGTGTTTTTTTTTTATACTGATACTTGAAGTACCAAAGAGTTCAATACATATAATGCTCTTATTTTCCTCTTCTATTGAATGAACAATAGACGTATTCTATCTACTGATAAATAATATAAAAATATTTCCAAAGACGTGCTTCAGTCATTGATTAAAGGTAAGATTAAAATCTTATTTTCAGTCTATATTGATCAAATTCAATTTGGTTGATACTCATATATTAAAAAACATCTTTAATTTAGATCAGTCTTATGTATAAAACCAACTTTTTTACTTGAAAAATAAAGCACTTAAGTCGTCCACAATTTATTAACGGTTATCCAAAACGAGATAGAAATGGATCTTTAACCATACCGTTTTCACTCGTCTAAGTAATCTCGACAAATTTAAACTAATTAACAAACCTCAATTTTTACTTGAATACTTTTTGGACAAAGAAATAAAGGATTTTAGGAAAAAATACGCCATAAATCTTGTTCATAAAAATCTCCAGAAAAAAACAGAATTTTTTCAAAAATAATAATCAGCATAAGGATACTGCATGGCCTTAGTAACGTTTGTGTTCGAGTATATTTTATAGAGATTGAATGATCAAGTGACAATATTAAAAGAAAATATATGCACGTTTATTCTATTTCGATTCTTTTGATTTTGAAGTGAAGTGAAGATTGTTTGAATACACAAAATTACAAAAATAGTTTGTTTCAGGATCTATTGTACAAAAAATAATAAATTTCCAAAGTATTCCAATATTTTTACGTTTTCCATAGCGCTTTTACGTTATACACAGACAAGATTCATTGTACAATTTATCCATAAAAATCTTTTTCTGATTATGTCCTCAATGTCAGAAATCTACTTCGAAAGATACAAATCGATCTGAATGAAACGTCAAGAAAATGTTGGTCTAGTACGAAACTTTTTTTAGAGGCACCATCAGCTCTCGTCGTTCAGGAGACGCGATCGCTGTCAGGACCAAAAAGTGGATGTTGCCATTTCCTAAAAGTTTCCTTCTATATTGATGCTGGAGAGCTCGGGATTGTCTCATTTTGTAGCTAAAACTTAGAACTATCGATTGTTAGAGTCCGGTTATTGATTGTTGACTTTGACTTGATACAGAGAAGGATTTCTGGAAAACACCAGATTGATTTTTCAGGTTTTTTACTTCAAGAAGCTTCCAAAAAAATTTCAAAAAAACCTCAAACTCGAACTTTGTTAGTCAGTAGCTCTAAGTCTTAGGTACAAAATGAGACAATCCCTAGCTTTCTGGCATCTTCACTGACGAAAATTTTTGAAAGATTCGAACAATATTGAAGTGAAAATACAGTTTCGAGAAAAAGGCAAAATACTTTGTTTCTTTTCAAAACTACTTTTATAATTTGTTTTGGACTCTAAAAGGTTAGTGGAATTGCTCTATAGATTTTCGATCACGGAGATTCTGATGCGCATATGGTTGCAAACGTGCTATATATGCGTATGTGCATGTTTTTCTCAATACTATTTATTTAATCTCTAAAACTTGTGATATATGTATTTTCACAGGACTTCCAGAAAACTTCATGAAAAACCACTACAATACATTCTTAAACGAATAAAACTTAGTGCATTTGAAAGAAGAAACTTGGGGCTATATCTTCGTGAAATTTTCTCAAAATCGATATTTTTGATGAAAATCGTTAGTCAATTTGGACCTGAAAGGGAGGAGGGTTCTTGACAAATTATACGTTGAGGATCATGTCTCGTATAAACGATAATAGATGAAAGAAGTTTAAAGAGCATCAGCCATAGGTCACTTCGCTATCAGTGCATAGTAATTTGACATTTTTCTGATAAAATTTGTTTTGTTTTCTCTCTCTACTGCATACGTTTATTTTTGTTCGTTTTCTATGAAGTTTAATTCTCATAATTAGTATAATGAATATTGTTTAAATTTCTTTTCCAGTAAACAAAGAACACAAAGCATGAACATTATTATATTAAATTGTAACTTTTATACAGGATTAATATTGATTGTGTTAATATCAAGTATAAATGTATTTCATTTATGGTATTTAATATTTAAGCGTTTTCAAAGTGATCGATTATTAACATCATTAAAAGTAAATTTATTTAGTTCATCCATCGCATCTTTAGTCATCTCACTTTGGTTAATACCATCTTTTTTCACTCAAACAACCATAAACAATCTTTGGACACCACTTTCATACCAATGGCGATGGTGGCTATATGTATTTCATGTTATCGATTCTGTACAAATTTTATCATTACTCTTACTAACAATTGAACTATATTTTATACAAAAAACATTATCAATTCGTTTATATCAATCTATTCTATTTGTCATTATCGTCTGGCTTGCACCTATTATCGCATTTTCACCAATATTATGGTTATCTGAACAAAATTCACTAATGATCAAACGATTGAACAAACAACAATCATCTATTACCAGTCAATTGAGCGATTATTTTCCATTTAGTCTCTTTCAACGTTATTCTACCGTGTTAACATTACCCTATTTAATCACGTACATTATACCATTATTTTTCTCTTTATCAATCTCATTGTTATCTATTGTTGTATATATTAAACAGAAAAAAACGAATCGTACCAAAAAAGAAACGTTAAAATACAAAACGAGTCAAATTATATTTGACAATAACATGAAATTTCATCAGTCTGAAATTGTTGAGCTACACAGTTTAATTCAAAATATATTTAATTTGAATTTTAATGACAAACAACCGATAACAACATCAACACTTCAAAATTATCCTAATAATCATTTGACTACTGAAGGAAAAACAGACGGATATGCTGGCAATTCACATTGCCTAGAGGTAAATGTTCTCGTTTATCTGACACTTAGATATCTCAGTTCATTTTGGGCACCGGTGCTTGAGTTATAACGTTATTTTATCACAAAAAATTTTCTTCATCGTTTATTACTTCTTAAACTTAAGTTTAATAAGAACTTATTGGTATTGTTTGCATAAAATTATAAGATCAATTATTTATGATTGATAAATGATAAATATTTTTTGATACACTTCAAATAATACTACTTTGCTTAATCATTATCGGACTCTTTTTTGGATTACTAATACACATACTTGATATAATACATGCTTATAAATATATATCAATCGAAAGTTTTAATGTTATATAGTTGCTTTAAAACACGATGCAATTATGATTCATTTTACTTTTCAAAAAATACCGTTTACGAAAATTTTGACGAGGGAACGTATCCAACTGTAATTCTAGGGTTTGAATGAGATCTACTGTGATCAGGTGGACTGATTCTAAATATAACGTTTTTAGATGTTACTTATACATCGATGCTGAATTCACTCAGTTAGAGTCTATTTTTTTCTTCTATAGTCGATAACCATTCGATCTTCAGTCTATCTCAGTTTTTGATTGACAGATCGAGAAAACTCGTACGATTTGCAGTTTTGTAGAACGCTTCAGCTACAATCTGATATATTTCAACGTATCGTGTTTGAAAGAAATGTATTTTGTTGAATATGTGTCTTTTTACTATATAACATAATGTTGTTTGCCTCGCAAGACGATAAATATTTCAACGTTTCTTTAAGCACAACAAATATTTAGCATACTGTGGAATACACTATCAGAAAGTATTTTTATTTTTCTACAATGGGACTTAATAGAGGGGTATTGTTGTTTATTCCAGTGAGACGCTGAGAACGATATCCGCAGACAGTTCAGGCCAAAAAAACTAAGTCCAAATATATCAGATTGTAGCTGAAGAGTTCCTCTACAAAACTGCAAGTCGTACGAGTTTTCTCGATCTGTCAGTGAAAAACTGGGATATACTGAAGATCGAATGGTTATCGACTATAGAAGAAAAAGCTTGTCAGCGTTGCTTCTGTAAAGCAAAAATGTGAAAACCTCCAAGTGAACTTCGGGCATCTAATAAGAATATATATAATTGTAAACACAGTTTTAAGACGTTGTAAACCCTTTAAGCCTAATTTAAGATGTTGTAAACAAAATGGGATTTTAAACTGTCTCAACTCGTACCTAAACTTTATACTTTAAACTTCCATTTCCTTCGGAAATCGGACATGTTCTTGGAAGTTTTCACAAAAAATAGACTCTGATTGAGCGAATTTAGCATCGATGTATAAGTAACATCTAAAAATGTCATATTTAGAATCAGTCCATCTGATCACAGTAGATCTCATTCAAATCCTAGAGTTACAGTTGAATACGTTCCCTCGAAAGCTCATTATTCCCAGATCTTGAATTTCTATAATATAAGAACTGTGTAAGTGGACACTATTTATTGCAATCCTAAGAAGAAAAACTTCCTTGATTCGAACTAGACAGAACACAATAAATTTTTTAAATTTTAACGTTAATCTATATATTCATTTTTCTTCTAGACGATATGGTCATCGTCCAAGCAATCCATAAACGATCAAGAAGAATTATATAATCATTCAACAAAAAAAATTCGTACATCATCCTATGAAGCCTCTCGTCGTTCATCGATTGGTTTTGATCATCTTGTATCAACAGCTCTCACAAATAATAGTAATAATAGTGGTGTAATGAATAGGGCGTCATCCATCATAGAAGAAGACTTATCATCATCATCAATAATTGATTCAGAAACATTGTTTATTCCTTCTCAAACAACAAATCAAACAATCAAATCAAAATCATCTCGTATTATCAAAAATCTCGTTTTTATCAATGTATTATCTATTATTATTTATTTACCACATGTAATATCTATCCTGCTATTGACATATCATGTTATCAAAATTCAACCCTATTTTATTATCTATTCAATTTATTTTCACTGGTTTGGAGCTCTACTAACACCATTATTTCATTTACATTTGCAACATTCGTTATTTACGTTGTGTTGCGTGAAAAGAAGACGAAGAAAAAACAACTCTCCGTCCGTATATTTGATTAAAAATCAAGTTATTGAAAAGCAACCATTGTCTAGAAGAAAACAAATATACAAAAAATTTACAAATGAAAAAATGAAATACTATAAACATTGCAAGAAGACGTCTGATTATTCTCGAATAAGCGAGTTACCTTGGATGCCAAGTACAGTCGAATATTTGGATCTTAGAAAAGTTGTTGTCTGAATTAAATCTATTTTTTACCAATAAATAGAAGATCGAGATAATGATAGTTTTCAAAAATAGATCGACAAAATATATAATAGAAAAGAAAATATCTTCTTTTATTTCTTCGCTACGAAATCGAGCAATGTTCTATTCAATTTTTCACAAGTCAGAAAACAGTATACAATAAATTTAATCATAAAAATTTTTCTTCGTCTGATTTTGTCTACAAGCTTCTGGATTAAATTGTGAATTGTACCGACGTTTTCGATCATCTGTTTCAACAATAATTGATTGTTCTGGTGTTTTATCTGGAACATCAGCACAAAAAACTTTACTCAAATAAGCAGCCGTTTTTGTCTTTTCTTCTGTCTCTCGTTTTAGTCTAAAATAAAATAATAAAGTAGAATAAGTTTACAACAAAGTGAATACGATGCAGACAATTTCAATTGTTATCTATTTCTCAATATTCGATAGTAACTTGTCCGTCTCTATGAATCATAATGAATTTGATATTTTTTTTTTGTCTTAATACAGACAGAGTAGTGTCTTACATTTTTGAAAATATCCTCAGTGAACTAATAAATAAATACCTTTCTGCTCTCAATTGTTCAATTCGAGACATTGATGTTGTATCTGTTGCACATTTTTTATTATTTACAATTTTTTTTTGTTTTATTTGAGAATCACTTTCATCATCTGTCTGCTTTCGTTTTAATTCAGTAACATATTTCATCATATTATTTAATGGATCTTGTTTCTTAATTCGTAATCGATCTTTTTCTTCTCTACAAAAAACAAGCATTTTATTATTTTTAGAAAAACAAATAATGAGATAAAACATACCGTTGGGCTATACTTGACTCATTGGAACGTTTATTCATGTCGGATCGTTTTTCCATATACCATGGTACACCACCTAGTCATAAAACTCAAAAATTGAACGAATTTTTAAGGATATAGAATTTTCGAATACCTTTACTTTCCACGACACTTTGACCAAGATACGTTAGAAGTCCAAGATTTTTCTCAAATTTTTCTGTTTCTTCTTTTTTTTCCTTTTCATGTTCTACATTTGTACTATCACCATTCTTTTGCTGATTAAAAAAAATTTAAAGAAAAAATATAATCACAACATCAAAATGCCAGTATATATCATCACTTACTCCTTCTTCTTCTAATTTAAAAAGATTGACATGTTCATTTTTATTCAAACTATTCGTAAATTGAATAAGATGATCGCCTCGATTTGCTCGTAAAATATTTAATCGTGCTTCTTGTTCCTAAAACGAGATGACACATTTCTGGTAAATCAATGTACAGTAAACTAATGTTCTCAAAAAACGACAACAAATAAAATGCTTAAACGTACAGCAAGTGCTTTACGTTTTAATCGTTGTTGATCTTCATCTGCCGCTTTTTTTTCATCTTTCAATACACGTGCTATATTGTCTTTATTTCGAACATGCCAACGTTTTTTGGGTAGAATATTCATTGTAAAATCTCAAATAAATCTAAAATAGCCCATGTAAAACTATGATAACTGGTAAAAATTGAAAAATAAGATTAGACATTTTAATGAAAGAAAAGGTTCATTATATTCCGTATCAATATAAATGTTGTATATTTTTATAAGTCTCTTTACAACATTCTTTATACATAATCTGCGTAACATAATTATCATATTTAATTAGAAATGGTCTCTTTGCTTATGTCATTATATTTTTCATTAAAAATGCAAAAAAGTTTTGCACAGATATTTTAGAAAAAAAAAATGCATTTTACCATAAACTGAAATAAAAAGAAATATCGTACTTTTTTCTACAGAAAAAATCTATTTGTCTTTCATATACATACAACAAAAAATTAAAAAAATTAAAACAATCGTCGACAAAAAATAGATTAATGTTATCCTATAGTTATAGAATACTATTCATGCCATAAACATCGTTTAGCATATGAAAGAAAAGCTCAGAATAAAAGCCATTAAACTACTGTTTTTATTTTATCACATCGTTCTCATTCTCATATATCAGTACCATTTTTATTAATCTGTGTTTTTAGAAGGTGTCGGTCTGTCTAACGTATCATTGTTCGTACTAGTTGATTGTTCAGTTTCACTAAATCCAAGTTGAGATTTACGTAAATTCCAATGCAATATGCCCGCCAAAGATTCAAACCAATCGCCTAACTGATCAAATCGACAAATAGCTGGCACCGGATAAACACTCGTTGTTATTCGTACACTAAAACAAATTTCAATGAATGTAAAATTAACTGAAAGAAAAACAGAAAGAGTTAGATGATTGTCTTACGTATCTTGATGATGTAATTCATGTCGATTACGACCATCAACAGAAAGCCAGGCTGTTAAACGTGTTTCTTCTGATACTTTTACCTTAATAAATTTTTTTTTATTAAAAATAAAATAAGAGTAAAAGACATTAAAACACTAGTACTTTTAATTCAATGCCAGCTGGAATGACAATCGGTCGAAATGATAAGGAATGTGGACAAATTGGACATATAAGTAAGCACGGGACATTTGGATGAATCATACTTGCACCTGAATGCATGCATAGTTATATAATTTAAATATTATTCACAAAGGGAAAATGTCAAGTCACAGAGATGCATTGAACAACAAAAATAAATAGTACATACACCGTAGAAACAAACATTTTCAAGCAACTAGGTATGCATCACTTACAGTTAAACAGCAGTTAACTGTAACTTAAACACTGCTACAGTTAAATACTTTTATTCAAGATTTTGTTAAACAAGAAATACATTTGAAGAAAAACTAAAAGCGAAAGATGTAACATATTAAACGTAACGTTGTTTTTTTTCTACGAATTTGAACTGACAAGATACTTTGCTTTTTTCAGACAGCTATGAGTAGTTTTGATTATCAAATGTATTAGTTTTACAGTTGCAGTTAATCCGTAACTGTTGTATACCTAGAAACAACCAACATCAACAGGTCGGCAACACTATTACAATGATTACTAATAACTTGAACTTCAAATTATTTTCCACGGCTAGTTGAGAAACAAAATTTGAGAATAAAATACCTGCTGCCATTGCATATGCTGTGGATCCAGTTGGTGTAGAGATGATCAAACCTATAGAGAAAAATTGTATAAATAGCATACACAAGGAAATTATCAAATAGTTTGAAGATATATGAATCTTTCTGATACTTCTTTTTTGTATTTACTACCGTTACGACATTTGCTACTTGTTTAATAATTCACGCATTACTTACCATCTCCTTGAACTTTTGTTATAAATCTATCATTAATGTACAAATCCAAGTTGGACAAATATGAATTTGGACCGCGGTCGATGACAACTTCGTTTAATGCTAGGTGTGATATTTTATCATCGGGAAATGGTGACGGAGATTTTCTTGTTGATTTTTCAGATGATTGTTGAGGTTCAGACGTTGACGTGGATGGCTCCTTATCTTCCGATGATTTGTGATCATGATGTTTTTCTATAGTACATTTCAATCTTGTACGAAGTAAAACAGCCACATTACCTAATGACAAAAGGTAACATTTAAATGTGTAGAGAAGTTTATGTAACACTTAAATGTAGAGAGTTTATTCTTTGCTGAGTATTATTCAAATATATTAAGTTGTAGTTGAAGAATTTCCTTTCGAAAGTGTGTGTTTGATGAGCTTTTCTGACGTATGTGTTAAACAATATGATCAATTGAAAATTGAGAATTTTTCGACAAAGAATAATTAAAATTGCTCGGCCAACCATCTAACAGTGGCAACCAACACACAGTGGGCATTTAGGTGGAAATTTAGAAAAAAAACAGTGAGCTTGCTTTTTCGTAATTTAAATAGTGTTTCATATACTTCGAGTGACGGCCGATTTAATGGCGAAAGAATTTTTATTCTACGACTTTTCCTTCTATAAAAGACTTGAAATGCAAAAACACTATGTAAATGCGCTATTTTTTCGGAAAATTTCGATTTTTATTGAAGGATAGTAAATTAGAATAAAATCGAGATCATATTCGG